GAAGCAGCTAGATAAGCTCATCAAGAAGGCCAGCTCTGTGCTTGGATGACCCCTCGACCCAGTGCAGGTGGTGGGAGACCGAAGGACTCTAGAAACAATAACATATTTTTCGGACAACATCTCCCACCCCATGCATGAAGCTGTTGCTGAATTGGAGAGCTCCTTCAGTGACTGATTATTGCATCCTAAATACACAAAGGAGTGTTACTGCAGATCCTTCCTCCCAGTAGCTGTTAGACTCTATAACCATAACTGCTCCCAACAAACTCAATAAGTATTAAAGGCATGCTGACCTCTGCTCAATCACCCACTTTACCTACCTACATGTACTGTCAATAGGCTGTCCTTTTCTTTTTTTAAAACAAACAAAGTCTGTCCTTCTCATTGTTCAATTCATATTGAACACTGTGTACATCATGACATGCCTATTTTTAAAAATTGCACAATATTTTCTATTATAATCTTGTATAGTATATTATTATATTATTATTATAATAATATAATAATAATAATATAATAATATAATTATATATATATATATATATATATATATATATATTATTACAATAATAATTTTTTTTTTTTTTTTTTTTTATTATTATTATTGTTCAAGGATTCAAGGTTCTTTATTTGTCATTCCACCACATGTGGTACATGTGGGTGGAACGAAACTGCACACAGGGTCTCAGTTACATCAAACAAAAATATTAAATGTACAAGAAAAACAGTAATAAGATCTAAGATATGAACTAAGAAAAATTTTAATAAAAATACACTAAACACTAGTGGCATAAAAACAATACAATGAACAGCAGCATGAACATGCGTCTGTGTGAGCAGATGAGCACGAATGAACACAGCAACATGAAACAGATCAGCAGCAACATGAAACAGATCAGCAGCAACATGAAACAGATCAGCAACAACATGGAACAGATCAGCAACAACATGAAACAGATCAGCAGCAACATGGTGTGATTCTTCACAGTGATTATCCTCGTTAAAGATTCATGAGTCTAACAGCCTCAGGGTAGAAGCTGTTCGTCAGTCTAGTGGTTCTACACTTAATGGGGGGAGGGGGTAGTAGGTGTCATTTTCTTTTGAAATCCAAGACCATCTCCTTCATCTTCTTCACACTGAAGGTTATTCTCTTTGCACCAGCTCTCCAGGTGTTCCACCTCCTGTCTGTAGCTGGACTCATCATTGTTTGTGATGCATCCCACCACCGCTGTGTCATCTGCAAACTTTACAATGTGACAGCCTGGATGGGTAGCTGCACAATCATACGTGAGCAGAGTGAACAGGAGAGGGCTCAGCACACAGCCCTGAGGAGAGCCAGTGCTGAGGGTTATGGTGGAGGAGGAGAAGTTGTGGATCCTCACTAACTGTGGTCTGTTTGTTAAGAAGTCTAGGACCCAGTTGCAAATGGAGGGGCTTAGTCCTAGTGTGAATAGTTTGTCCATCAGGGTTTGGGGGATCATGGTGTTGAAGTCAGACGTGAAGTCCACAAAGAGCATACGGACGTAGGAGTCCTTCTGCTCCAAGTGGGTGAAAGCAGTGTGGACCACAGAGGAGATGGTGTCTTCTGTAGATCGATTGTCACGGTATACATACTGATGAGGGTCCTCATTGATGTTGATGTTAGCTTTGATGTGAGTCATGACCAGTTTTTCAAAGCATTTAGTGACTGTCAGGGTGAGGGCCACTGGCCGATAGTCATTCAGACCAGTCACTGTAGAGCTCTTTGGGACTGGGATGATGGTGGCAGTCTTCAGGCAGGTGGGAACTGTCTCCAGGGTAAGTGAGGTGTTAAAGATGTCTGCCAGCACCTCACAGAGCTGATCAGCACATTCCTTTAACACTTTTCCGGGGATGTTGTCTGGGTCAGTTACCTTGTGCGGATTAATCCTCCTGAAGGTACTCCTTACTTCTGCTGAGGTCACGCTGACATGCTCTTCATCCAGTGGTGAGGTGAGTCTGGTGCTGGGTGGTCTGTTCAGGTCTTGAAAGTGTGCAAAGAACTTGTTGAGGGCATCAGGCAGAGATGGGTCTTTGGGGTATTGTTCACACCTGCCTTTATAATCTGTTATGCACTTAATGCCCCTCCACATGCTCCGAGGGTCTTGTGAGGTGAATTGACCCTGGATCCTCTGTGCATATGTGGCCTTGGCCTTCTTAATACCAGCATCCAGCTCATTCCTTGTCCTACTCAGCTCCTGTGAGTTTCCAGACCTGAAGGCAGTGCAGTGTTCCTGGCAGGGTGTGCACCTCTGATGATTGTTATTGTTTAACTTATTTCTTTATATATTGTTTGTTAATATTTTAGGAACATTTTTGTATGTACCTTTGTGTTTGTTGCTGCTATAAACACTTGAATCCCTCCGCCCCCCCTTTACAGTGTTTAAGGTTACACCATCACTCACCACAGCTGATAAACTTTGAGAATTGAAGCTCAAACTCAGGCAGTGTTTATAAGAAGAGGATTTTATCAGCTTTTAAAGGGATAGTTCAGATGTTCTGACGTGGGGTTTTGTGTAAATGTTTTGAATAACAAAAAATGCACCTGTCATAGATGGCTCTTTGAATGATCGCACATTAGAGGCCGGGCTGATCATCCTCCCTCCTCACATGAACAGAAGAACAAACCACAGCAGATCTACGGGACACATACGTATGTGTATCTCAGCTTTTTAACCTGAATCCCACACGCTCTGCTCTTTGAATTGAGAAAACTTCTCGGATGAGAAGCGAAACGTCTTCTGTTACAAATAAAGTCCAGTTGTTTTGTCTTGAATATTTTTGAATCTATGAGGCACACATGCCAGTTTTTCATGCCAGGAAACACACAGACATGACGTCGTTTCATTTTTGTTTATTGTGGCTGTAAAAGTAAAGTCCCTCCTGGAGCAGAGCAACATTAATGTCCTGTAAGATGATCACAGATGTTACACAGCTGTGGCCTTCAGGTGCAACACAACATAACCAAGACCTGACTGAAAAGAGGACACTTTTGTGTCCCTGTCAGCTGGACTGGTCTCTGTCATGTCCTCTCAGACATGTCCACTCTGTTTTGATTCACCCACACATCTGGCTGCAGAGGAAGGTTTGTGCAACGTGCAGGGGGTGTTCAGATCAGGCAGCAGCGGTGTGGAAACACCTTCCTTGCAAACTCGTTTTGTCTCCGGTGATGTCACACGTGAGCTGCCTGACTCCAGCGTGATAGGAAGCTGGAACGGCGGCGTCCCCATGGTTGGAGCTGGACTTGTGAGAAGAGCTCAGGGAGTTGGTGGGGCTGAGCTGGACCGCTGTCGTGTCCTGAAGCGTGTGCTCGCTCGTCTCCATCTCAAAAGTCGCCATCCTCATTCTCATCAGCCCCCACTTCTCCCCTCCTTGGGCTTTTCTCGCCATGTGGATGGGAGGCCTCCTGCTGGCCACGCAGCAGGCTGAGAAGAAAGCCAGCGCCATCAGTAAGAGAAGAGGCCCGATGATGATGGGGGGTGGTTGTTTGAAGGAATGAGTGTAAGGAACTCTCGTGAGGGTTTGGACCAAGATCACAACACAACAGACTGACGATAAATAATAAGTGTTTATTGTTTCTAGGAGGGAAGTGACAGCTGGTCTCGGTGCTGGTCTGGGTTCTGGTTCTGGTGTCGGTTAATGGCAGGAGCAATCTAAGAAGCAGAGAACGGTTAGTGGTCGTGCGGATTACCAGAACGTGGAAAATAGTCAATAAGGAAAAACCACTAACCGTCTCAGATGATCTCAAGGGTCCTGAAAGGTGGAAGTGTCCAGATCTGCAGCTGCTGGAAGGGCTGAGTCCGGTGAAGGACGACAGTCGGCCGCAGCTGTCTGTGTGTCCAGAGTCCGTGATCCAAAAGGGGAGGTCAGGCTTTCCAAGGTCCAGTAACGAGAAGCAGATGTCAGGCAGTACCAGAGGAGCAGGCAGATCGGTGGTCGGGCAGGCGTGGGTCGGTACCAAGAGCAGATGCAGAAACAAATCCAAAAGGGCAATCCAAAGAGACGTGGTCGAGGCAGGCGGAGGGTCAAGGAACCAAGAGATCAGGCCAAACAAGAAGGGGAGGACAACCAGAAAGAGGGACAGGTAGCGTGGAGGGCAAGACAAGGAGTGAGGACTTGAACAGGGACAAGAGAGGGCAACAAGGACTACAGGCATGAACGCGAGATATTTACTGACTACTAAGAGTGTTCAACTATCGGGCACCGAAGAGTTGACAGGTTGCTGCTTATAAAGGGTGGAGAGAACAGGTGCAGCCAGTCAGAGATAATCAGGCCAGCTGGCTGCAGTGCAAACAATTAGTGCAGTCAGCCTTCACCAACATGCAGAGTGGACAGACTGGTTCTCCACATACACACACACATGAGAACCAGGTAGAAGGAGATAAGGAGTGAGAATGAAAAGAGCAGAACAGAACTGAGAAACCAGAGCTAGTGAACAGAGTGATAAAGATCTAAATACAAGGACGTGATTCATGACAATGAGGGTGCCAAAGGTGAAAACTCCCACCGAGGTGATGTTTATGCCAGCCAACATGATGCACAGGCTGCAGGCGCCGCACAGAGCAGGGGAGGGCAGGCCCTGCTGCTGGAGGCTCCGCTGCTCTGGGATCCTTTCAGGGGCTTCATCAGGCATGTTTCATCAAATGATCCACTTCATCACTTTGGGTGCTGCAAACACTTTTTATAATTTTGTAGATAAAAAGTGACAAATCTGAGAAAATTAAGAAATTATTTTATTTAACTTTACTGAACCTTAGGCTAGAGTTTATTTACAAATCATTTTAGAGCTAAAGAGTAAAAAAAAAAAGAACAAGTAGAGAAACTCTGTGTCTGTGAAAATGCTAAAAGGTAAAAAAAGCAAAAGACGAGCTAAAAGCTAAAAGTAGCAGCAGTAGCTAAAAGCAACACAAGGCAAAAACAGAGGAAGTGTGTTGATGCAGATTTTTAAAGAGAAAAATGCTTTAAAATAGGAAAATATTTGCAAATAATATCAAATATTTAAAAAAATAATAAACGCTAGAGCAACCAAAGGATACATCTCTTGAGTGAGCTGAACGTTTGGATTTATTAATGAATAAAATGGCATAAAGTAGTTTGATTCAAACAACATGTGGCATAAATAAAACAGTGAAAGTATTGGGTGAAGGCTGATTGAGAATTTACACAACTAATAATTGTGACGTGGTTGTCATAAAATGTAGCTCAAGTATTTCTGAAGCTGCCTCGACGGTTTGCAACAACAGAAAAGGACACAAAGAAAGAAAAACACAAACACGGCTTTAAAGCAGCACTTCAGCCACATGTATAGAAAGTACTGAGTCGCTCACGTGCTCAGACTCATCAGTATGTCTCCGTGTTTTATCCCTCCATGATGCTGCAGGGTTGACTCTGCCTCCTGCAGGTGAACCAGCACTGAGCTGCTCTTCTCTCAAGAGAGCTGCTTCAAATCAGCCCAGTCAAACGAAGCACCTCTGCTGCTGCGCATCTTCTGAACTGGAATATAAAAAACACTTGATGCACACACTCTCCTCTGGTTTCAGACAGAACATTAAAAAAATATATTGTCATTTGCCCCCAAAAGGCAAAGGCAGACCATAATGTTATTACCCATGTCTGTCTTTAAACATCTCATTAACCACTCGCATAATTTTAATTAAAGTTTTAGAAAATAATAATTACATAGCCAACAATTTTCAGTCAGGTCATCTGGACAGTTTCTTTTTTTGCTGAAATGGTTCACCTTCCATCCAGAAGGCTTCATCAGTCAAGGAAACACACAACACAAAACTGATTCTTCCTTAAACAGCTTTGTGGAACAAACCAGTTATGTTGGTGCTAAGAAAAAAAAAGAAACTGTCCAGATGACCTGACTGAAAATTGTTGGATTGTATACCTGGATTATTGAGCATGGATTTTTTTTTTATTTTTTATGATTACATAGCTCTGCAACTGATTAACTCTTTGCTGCCACAGCAAGAAGATCCTGGGTTCAATCCCTGGTTGGTCCTGGGGTCTTTCTGTGTGGAGTTTGCATGTTCTTCTCGTGCTTGCCTGGGTTTTCTCCATGTTCTCCGGATTCGTCCCACAAACCAAAAACATGCATGTTAGGCTGAATTCAGGTCCAGGCCTCCCTTGCAAAAGAGGTCTGTGATCTCATTGGGATTTGCCTGATTAAATAAAGGTTAATAAATAAATTAATTAATTAAAAACACTAAACGTCTTTACCTCAGTCAGTTTGACAGAAATTGATTTAAGTTTGATGTGGTAGTAGCTAATTGATCCCCAACACCAGGGTGGGCAACTATTTTTTCCAAAAGGCCACATTAAAATATTTAAAGCCGCTTAAATGGAAAAATATACTTTTATTAAGATACAAAATAAAAAGTTTTTCAGGCTTTCTTGCTGTAGCATATTTATCATGATCAATACAAATGTGTCGCCCAGATATAGAAATATAAGACAGACTTTCTGTAAAATAGCTTGTGACAAAATATTAGACTAAATATGAGTTTTGGAATGTTTAAGGTTCAGTCTAGTTCTCGAAACACAACTTTAAAATATAGCCTTATTTGAAAGATTTCTGTGTATTGATCCAAGATGTTTAAATTAAACTTCCTTAAGTTTCATACATAAATGTTTTCATTAACATTTAAAAAAGTTGTTTTCTTTTCAGTTAAGAGTTTTGGGGACTGGACGGAGATCGTCCAAGGGTCACTTCAGCTGTACGTTGTCCACATCTGTCCAACGTTAGCTCCACCAGATTACTTAAGATCAAAACTTAAAAAATGTAGAACTGTTCAAGATGGCCACCACAGCTAATCAACATTAACCAACACAACCATTTAACTTGTTTAACGTTACAAATAATGAGATGAAACATTAATGCATGGTAGTAGTCATTCACAACACATCCTCTGAGTGACTTTTTTTAAATTATTATTTTCAAGGTCTGAACAAAACAGCTTCATATCCATCGTTTCTCGGCATAAAACTGTCTCAAAGTGCTAAATGGTTCCCTCAAGAAATGCTGGCTCTCTAGTTCCTTTTGTTCAGCTCAGGTTGGTTCCCTTGAAATCCTTTCGGCTTTGATTGGGTACAAAACGGTTTACCTGTGAATTAAAAACCAAATTACACTCTGACCAAAACGTCCCCTAAATGACAAAAGAACAGTTTGTTAAAAATGATGCATCACAATTTAGACGAGTAGTGATGTTTCAAAGTTTATTGAGAACTCGGCATCCTGTAATAAAAATCTGCTCCACGTACAAGAACTCATACAGATTAACGTTTCTCATTTGACGAGGGAAAACAATACACTTTATAACTCAACATGTGAGGGCTTTAACATGTTGTCTAATCCAGTCTCTGAACAAATCTCTTTCAATCCCCGTCGGCCAATGAAAGCCCTTGTTTGGTATAGGGATGGGGTGTCCATGACAACAGTGTGTAGAGGGGAGTGGTTTAGCTGCTTCACATAAAGTTAACAGGGTTAGAAGAAATAAACTAATGAACTACCATCAGAGGTCTTAAAAAACAGTTTCTGAATTAATAAAACCATTAAAAAAAAAAGTTAACGTCATGCACTGGATGGACTCAAGAAAGACGGATCTTAGCTTGGTCCGTCACTCTTCTTGGTGCCATTCATAAAAACACGACAAAATAAAAATGCCCCTATACATACTGAATCTATTTGTTCACAATATAAAATCCTAATACTCTAAAAGTGTAACAACGGTGGTAAACAATTCCCTTTGAGTTCCCTTAATTATCTACAACCTAACAGTCAAGAAACACTGTTCAACTCGTTCAGATGGAAAAACAAAGAGTTCAAGCTCCTTATGTGTGCTGGAAAACAACTGAGAACTGTGGCGATCTCTAACAGGTGAAGTATTAGTAAGTAAGTAAAACTTTACTTGTATAAAACCTGTATTACTACAGGTGATCAAATGTTGGAGCAAACAAATGCTGCAGTGGTTCCCAACCCAGGTCCCTGAGGAACACCATCCTGCATATTGTAGTTGTTTCTCTGCTCCAACACACCTGATTCAGTGATTTAATTACTTCCTCATGTTATACAAAAGCCAGTTAAATCACCCGTTCATTCAAATCAGGTGTGTTTGAGCAGCAACTAAACAAAGCCGGATGGTGTTCCTCAAGGACCAGAGTTGGGAACCACTGCTTTCTGGTACAACCTGAGCAGAAGCGGAACACACCTCTGTAGCTGGAGTCTCAGTCATTAGAGGGGTCTTCAGCTGCAGAACGTGGGCAGAGCAAACTTTTAATTCACTGCGAGTCATCCTCCCAACTGTGCCGAGAAAATCACGTTATTAGAGTAGCACTCGTTAAGATGATTTCTTTGATTTTAAACAGTTTGTAGTTCATGTGATAAAAATTCATCCAACACAAGTAAGGATAAGTCAACTCTGTAGGTAAGAAGCATGCATTGTTGCAGTTTGGTCAAGTTAAGTGTGTAGTGGTGAGTGGCATGTTAAATGGGACAGGGGGGCGTTTTTTTTTTTTAGAAAAATCTATTCATTACCAACCAATTCTAGTGTTTTTTCTTAAAAAATGTTCATTCCCTGTCATAAGTCAAGTCAAAATGAAACTATTTCTCCAAATTCAGGTCCTTTAAAGAATGATCTACAACAGGTAAGATATTAGCTGCTCGAAAAGGTTTTGAAACTCCATTTCAAATTATCAAAATAATTTCTTTAAACTAACTGCAACGCTTCCTTTAAAGTACATCAGTGATACAGGTAGCTTGTGTTGAAGTGAAAGCTACATATCCGTTCATACCCCGGATCGTTCACCCATGGTTGCAGGTGGCTAGCTTTAGCATTACAAGCTAATGGGTAATTTTAGAAAAAATAAAAGCCCAGTGTCCTCCAAGTGTCATTCTATGTATCAAATATAAATACACACATCCATACACAAGTCACTTACACATGAATGCTTCCAAAAAGCAGAGATAATCCCTTTCCACCAATAACTAAGACACAATATTAACCATTTCACAGCTTAACAATAAAAGAAGTCATTTAAATAAAATGGACAGAAAAAGCTGCACCGCTGTCCTGCACCTCTAAAATGCTGCTTTGGTAATGATATGTACTTTAATATAAATTGTTTTAATAAAAATAGGTTTGGTGTTTTGTCTCATTAACCATAAATAGATCTGTCATTATGTTCTAAAGCAAAAGATCTCCCTTGTTTAAAACTCAGGCGGATTAAAACCATTATTAACTATTAAAAGTTGTTGAGGATTAACTGTCTAGTGTTCAAACCGTCTAGATAAGATTTTTGTCTATAGTGAAGCTTTAACACCAAAAATTGAGACCTATGGCTCATCCATAAAGACTCCCTATAGAAAATAAAAGTCTATTTAAATAAAAAGAGAAGTCAGAGGTGGAAATCAATCAGGAAAACACAACAAAGGAATTCAGGCTGGTATCTCAAGGTCATCACAAGCCGGTGCAAAGTCTGTGCTGCGCAGAGCGCTGGACTTGGCCCGTCTGCGGGCCAGTCTGGAGTTGGAAGGAGGGGAGAGCCTCATGGAGCAAACGATGGCTTCGGCGTCTTCCTGCTGCTCGTCGTGCAGGGACAGCTGCCGGTTAAAGGCGATCGCTTCTGCTGCAAACTGGCTCAGGTCTTTGGTGCTGCTGTTCCTAAACCGAGACGAGGCAGAGGTCGCCATGAGAAACATCCACTCACCTCAGTGCTTCATGCTCACAGCACTGCCTCGGACTCAAGACAATTCTTTACTTGTTAAAATGACTGATAAAAAAACAACTACTGTGAACACTTGTGCTAATTTCAGTATTCAAGAAAGCAAACATACTCTACTGCACTTATCTAAAGAATTAAAACCTTGAAATCTTTGTCAAGGCGGACTAAAATAGAACTTTAAGGCTATCAAGGCAGCTAAAAATGTATTTCTCATTAAATAAAAAAACAACTAAACTGTTTTTAGAACACCTAAAACTTGTATTACAAACCTCTGTAGAACATGAGGAGTTGGAAGACCTCTCTCTGGAGCATTCTGCAGGAAAAATAAATCATGTAGCTTCAAATGACATCTGAGTAATAACTACACAGGGAAATACAATTATTCTGCTGCATCGATGTAAACAATACCCACCCCCTGCACCCAAGGATGCTGGAGGACCTGAGCAGCGCTGAGGCGCAGGGTGGAGTCCCGAACCAACAGCTTGGATATGAGATCCTTGGCTTCTTCAGTGATGTGTGCCCAGTCCTTGTCTGGAAATTCATACTTTCCCTCCTGGATGCTCTCGAACAGTTGGCTCTGAGGACACGGGGTCATATATATATATATATATATATATATATATATATATATATATACAGAGTGTGTCATTAGGAGTGTAAGGAGACACTCGTCTCATGAGGCAAGATGAGATCCTGCGTCCATGAGAACCAGACGAGGCAAGATTTTAATATTACTTTTAATTAAAACAAAAGGGTTTGCCACAAACTCAACCGACTGTTGTCTGAACTCTGAAAAGGGTATTCTGATTTTGTTTCACCTCAGAGTTTACTGTACTTTCCACCGTACACGTCGCACCGCCGTGTAAGCCGCATCAGTCCAAATATGTCTAATAAAGTGGAAAAAACATAAACATGTCGCTTCGCCATTTAAGTCGTATCTATTATGTGTCACCGCTAACGCGTCACGTTTGTTACATGTCACCACTGACCACCCGGAAACATGGTCCAGTGTTGTGCCAAAAATTGATTAGCTGCCAAATGGCAGCCGCAGGAGCGTACACGGGAGGACTTTAACAAGAACTTAACAAGATTAATATTTAAAAACAATTATTTGTTTGCTCGACATTATAGTAAAGGTGTGTCTCAGTTGAACTTTTCCTTAATAAATGCGCTTTAATGATCCAATCAGCTGCATTTCGCCTGGGCCGTGCGGCGAAATGCAGCTGATTTGACGTTTGCTCCAGGAGTTCTGGAGCGAGACGAAGGTGGCTTGGTATGGCAAGTCAAGTGTCTCATTAATAGACACTTTTACCTATTAATGAGGCACTTGGTTTGCCACATCAGTCCCTCTAGCAGCTGAAAATGGCAGTGTTCAATATTTTCCATGTCAGAATGAATGAAATCATCAAATCTCAGCCAAAAATTGGGTTATAAATATGGAAAAACACGTAAATACCTTGCTTAGGTGTGTAAGGTGCAAAAAGGTGCAACTTATACAGCAAAATATACGGTAGACAAAATTTAAAAAGATAATTTAAATCACTGATTAAAATTACATTTGAAAACGGTTTAATCATTTATAAGAGTAAAATTTCTTACATGTTCTCAGAGGTCACAAGTAAGATTTTCATAGTGGAGAAGTTACAACAGATCAACACACCAAACCTGAAATATTGCAATTATTGTTCTTTCAAAGATGTTAAGAAGTACAGAACAATAACAGAGCTCGATTCTAAATAACAGCTTTCAATATTAAGGAAGTAGCTACAACTTCTCATTATTGTTGTTCCTTTCATTCAGTGACATGAAAATGCTGCTTGGTTTCAAAATGTTACGTTTTCACTGTTGATCAGTGGACACTTTACTTTACAGCTCGTCTTGTTGCAGTTCTTCTTTTTGCTAATGGTGAAAATGTGAGAACAGAAAAGAGTTTGGAGGAAGAACATGATGCCAGAAGAATATCGCCGTCATGCAGCCTATTTGTAATTTGGTCACCGACAAAAAGACATAATTTCTTCTTGACATCAGATGTTTGTAGTCTTGAACTAGAATGGTAAAGCCTTATGGATTTGTGAGATTTTAAGGACACTAAGCATAAAGAAACTGAGAGCTGATCATACCTGGCATGCCCTGCATGTTTCTCCCCGGTCCCAGCCGCAGTTGGTGCCACAGTGACCTGTGAAGGGAGGGCTTCCACTCAGCAGGATGTACAGGATGACACCGAGACTCCACAGATCACAGCGCTTGTCATAGAAAGAGGCCTCATCAGTAAACGCCTCCACTACCTCTGGAGCCATGTACTCTGCTGAGCCACACTATGAAGGTGAAAGAGGTGAAGGAGACTGAAAACCCCAGTCAGTATAGATGTGTAACTTTTTTTTAAAATACATTGTGAATCTGTACCGGTGTGGTGAGCTCTGGAGTGGTTATTGGAGTACAAGCACTGCTGAGCTTTACTCCACTTCCTAGATCAAAGTCACAGATTTTTACTGGCGACACCTGCGGAAGACAAATGGAGTCACAGTCTGCATCTACTGGTGCCTTTTGAGACATTTTCCATGCTACTTACCCGATCAATATTTTCACAGAGTATGTTTTCCAGCTTAAGATCTCTGTGAGCAATGCCTGAAGAAAAGCACACAAGTTCCCATGAGGAGAAAAAGGCATCAACATTTTTATAGATGGTAAAAAATATATAATTTGAGACTCAACCTACCCTTTGTGTGTAAAAAGTCCAGAGCTTGTGCAATGTCCTTGACGACCTTACTGGCTTCCAATTCATTAAAGTGCTTTCGGTTTTGGATGTGTGTAAGAATGGAACCTGCAGGGGGAAAAAAAAATACTTGGAATAATTTCTGCGTGTTCGTATCGAGCTATTTGTAAAAACAAAATGAAAGATAAACAGCAGCAGCCATAATTGTTCATACTTACCCCCTCGTAGCTTTTCAAACACCAGATAAAAGCAGGAGCTGTCTTCAAAGAACTGGATCAGCTCCAAAATGTTTCTGAATAAACAAAAACATTTCATTAATTCTGAGATGATTTTAATTCTCCAGTAAATTGTTTTGATTAAATGGACCGACTTGTTTCCTTGGCATTGGTAGAGCGTCTCCACTTCTCGAAATACTCTGCTGCGACTGTGGCCTGCGGCCTTTTCTATGATCTTTGCAAGAAAAAAAAAACCCACACAAGTCATAATTAGTAGTCTGAGCAAACGCACGTCGTTCTCTATATTTTCTAAAAAAAGAAATTCTTACTTTCACAGCAAACTCTTGTCCATTCTGCAGGCTCACACATTCTTGAACTTTAGCATAAGCCCCCTGACCGAGCACCTCATCTGTTAGTTTGTAGAGCTCTGAAAAGGGTAAGATGAGACTACAATGAACTTTTATCCAACGATAAACATAAATAACATGTCCACATTTTGCAAATACTACACTTCACTACGATTACAACATAATTACCATCAAAAGTGCCTGTAAAGCTGTCTGTAGCTCTGTTCCTTTTTTTCTTTTTTCTTTTTGACAAATCTGGGATGTTCACTGGCTGGCTGGACTCGAGCCCTGCACAGAAGAATTTGCACAATAGAAATGGAACAAATAGAAACCTGTACAAATGTTGCCAGGGAGTTCAACAAACCAAATGTGTACAGCTTTTATAGTTGTTACAAATAATACAGCTGATCTACCTGCTGGGCCTTGCAAAAGGTGCTGCCTTTCCTCTTTGATGTTGTCCTTTATCGCCCCACTGTTTTGCCCTGCTTGGCTCACAGCCAGGGGGTTACCCTGTAAACGGACAGAATGGGAGGGAAAGTGAGAGAGCAGCAAGAGATCAGGTGATGGTACATCAAAACAACACACGACAGGGATCAAAAGATATTACAGCTTTTAACAAAAGTCCAAACTGCAAATATAAGGTAGCATTTTTCCTGCTAATACACTAGTTGTTAATCACAAAGTTTGTTTTCTCAGTCATCCAGGTATATAACAACAAAAAAG